ACAACCAATACCATAACAAGGGCCCCCCGGAGGGGGTGCCGTACTTGGATGGCTTTCCACCCGATGACGAACTCCCCTCGGTGGCGTGGACAACGGACCTCGTTGCCAGCGTTCTGAAGATCGCGGTGGGAACCCTCAGGTAGGCGTGGTCTGATACCTACCATCTATCTTTTGCACATATGTTTTCTCTGACAAGCAAGCGAATTTCTTGCACGTTTTGTTTTCAAACTCTAGACTATACCCTAGGCTTCCGACCTCCACTAGTCGAATGACGGGACCCTGGTACACTCCGTTGGTCCCCGCTTCCGTATGTGGTGGATGGGAACGCGACGGGGAGAAAACCATCGTGCGACCGTGTATGATCCCGCGTGTACCCTCCTCCCACCCCCCGGGATACGTTGTTTCCACAGGGGAAGTTTGGGTGCCGGCGAGATCATGGAGGCCGTCACGGACCCCGAGAAGGCGAAGACGTTCGCGACCAGGGTCAGGGATCTTATCAGGGAAAACTCCTCCATCGACGAAAGGGTGGGTGTGGCTAGTGGAGTGGACCACAATCATAGCCAGGCCTTTCGTTTTCGATTGTTGCATTTTTTGGCAGGGTTTTGGCGGCCGGTCATGGATCTACCTCCGCTTTGCAGAATCTTGTCCTTTTGTTATGGTTCGAGGGAGACAGAACGATCTGAGTCAGGACAAACACGATGTTACTCGGTTCACGGTGATAGATCTAAGACTGTCTTGAATCTGCGTGTACATGGGCGATTAGAGTCAGGCCCGGAGAAAATCCATGGGTGTCGCTTCAAAACTGGGTCGAACGGCGCGCTGATCTGTGAATACGAAGTTTGAGCATTCATTTCAGCCCACGGAAAAACCGAACGCACTGCTAGAACCTCCATGCCTTTCATGTATCCCTCCCCCCAAATGCTCAAACGTCACACTACTGTTGCACATCCTCTTTCTACTTGTTTCGTTTTCAGCCCGCCGACATCGGGGATTACGAAGATCTCCACGCCTTCCCGATCGCGAACCCTAGGTCAATGTTCGACTGGGAAGACGACGATGCTTTCGCCCGCCTCCGCCTACAGGGTAAGGGATAAAAAGGCAACAACGTTTACTACCATAACTCCGGTTGCCGCCGTTTCACGTACACGGCACATTGTACGGTGATTCTTTGCAGTGCCTTTCGAAATGATTCGCTTCAGCTGCTGCGGCCAGCTGTGAACGATTGTTGTCGGTTGCAGCTCTTGAATCACAGCCGCTCCCGTCGGCGGCGGCAATTATGACCATGCGATGTTCAACCGTCCAAAGGAGAGCTCGCGCGATCAGGTGTTTTTATGGCTACCGTTTGGTTGGCGTTTCATTCCGGTTGTCTTACATCTCGTGAGCTAGCGCACCACTTGTTTCCTCTTCCTGGTCGTGTAGCCTCGATCAGTCACTCTGCTCTCGCCAAAAGTTTCATCGTCATTCCATTCCATCGATCGCTCGGTGTTGCGCCGTTTTCAGGCGGGAACTGCGTCGTTCTGGAGAAGTGCACCCAGTCCACCCGCGAGAAACTCAAAGTCCTCGATTCGGACCCCGTCTACAAAGTAAGAAGGCCAATGGCGCCTGATAGCACTTCATTCCTACTCTTACACCAAATACTCTCAACAATTGTTCGTATTCGAACAAGTAATTTCGTGAAATCGCTTGGTAGAGACGCGGACAAAAGTCTATCGGCTGTGGCGTTGGTGTCTTGTGTGAGGGCATTCGCTTGGTGAGACTGCTGTGCCATGTCCGTGTTCTCAGCACCCTCGCCCCCGCCTGTGTTCTCTCCACCGCGTGTGTCGTGCCTTTTACCACCTTGTTCAGCAACTTAAGTCCAAGGTGGACTCCTTGATGGACGAAGGCAAGCTCTTCGTCGTCGACCACGAGCTCCTCAAGGTGAAAAAAAAACGAAAAGGGGGTACATACAAGCCACGCGCTTTGTCGTTCGCTTTGTCTTGCTGCGGATGGGTGCTGCAGAACATAGAACCCCTAGACTACCACATATCGCGCTAGTTGTTGCACGTACTTTGTTCATGCAAGACCGCGCTGTTTGGGATCGGTGTCTTGGCCACCTTCTCGTGCCTCATCTGCTGTAAAGCACGCGCGAACAACACGACGGAAAGGTAGGAAATGCTGCCGATACTGATGCCAACTACGCTTAGCTTTCTCCTGGAGAGACGCCCCGGAACTCTGCTGGCGGTTACGAGTGCGTGCCGTCCTTGCTCTATACGCGTGCTTTTCTTTTTTGTTCCCTTGCCTCTTCGGTTGTCTCCGTGGCACCAGGACATGGAGGCCTACCCCATAGAGGGTGTCGCGAGGTACCTCACCCCAAGCGTGGCCCTTTTTGAGGTGATCGACGACGATCTCCTTCCCATCAGACCCATCGGCATCCAGGTGACAAAACCGCCCGATCCCCCACTCTTGATTCTTGCTGGTGGTGCTGATCAAATTATGTTGGTTTTCCGCCATAAATCTGTTGCCGTTGTTGGTGCTGTCTTTGGCGTCGTCATTCTTGTGGTGTGGTTGTTGCGTCTGCCGTTGCTGTCTGCATTTGCTCTGCTGTAGATCGAATTGCTCTATTTCTTGTGTTCGTGCTCGTGGATTGTGAAGCTTCCTGACGGTGCTGTTCGTGTTGCCGCCGCTGATTATGCCGTCGTCGGCGTGTATGGATGTTGTGTTGCTTCGTCTTCGGTGACTACGGTGACGGTTTGGTCGTCGCGGCGACGATCATGTACTTATGGAGCAGCTGAGCCAGGGAGAAGAGGCGACCCCGATCTTCACCCCCGAGGACGGTAACAACTGGCTGATTGCCAAGGCGTGCTTCGAGTCTGCCGACTTCATGTAAGATCGCTTTGGGAGACATTGTGCGCGTACGTGCTGTGGGTCGGGAAGCTGCCCTACCCTCGCTCGTTCATCTTGACTTCAAGAAAGTCATACGAAGCACTCCTCTTTTGCCCTGTGTTCGCATAAAACGCACACAACAATATGGTAAACCAGGGTATACGCGAGATTTTTCCTGGTACCACACGTGTCGCAGAAACACAAATATCCACCCATGATGCCCCTTACAAACCCCATGGACCACGTTCGCGCCTTTTCTCCCTGCCGTTTCTTGTGTCGATACAGCACTTTTCGGCGGTTGTCAATCTCTTCCATCGATTTCAATCTTCATTACGTTGTGGTCTCCGTGGTCGTATTTCCCCCCCCACTATTTCTTTGCTTTTAATCAACGCGTGTGTGTCGTCGTCAAATAACCTGAACGTGTGCGCTGCTTGATTCTTTCGTTTCCAGCATTCACGAGGTCGTGTCTCACCTCGGCAACACGCACGTCGTGCTTGAGGCCCCGATGGTAGCCGTGAACCGCTGCCTCCCTAAGGAACACCCTGTGTACGACCTCCTCAAGCCCCACATGGAGGGGACCGCCCTCATCAACTGGGGAGCGCAGGATGTGAGTCGCGTCGAAAAATGCTGTCACAAAATGCATCTGTACTTCGGATCATGTAGCCGCGGGTGTAGTGGAACTTGTACACAGAAGATAATTGGAAGGGCAGCAGGTCAAATTATCTTGTCAGAACAGACAAACCGACCGGGGTCAGGGCGCATCAAGAACGAGTCGAGACTGGCGGTGGGCGGTGCTTTTTATCGCTGAATACTTTTGCGACAAACCGAGTGCGCTCTCACGGTCTTGGTTGTCTCCCCGTGTCAGATACGAAGGGAGTTCGCGGTTATGTCATGGTCACGTTCAACGCAGGCTGACAAAAGTAGACCAAAGTAGTACTGCAGCATGGAATGTGATGTCTAATGGGAGGTTACGTGTTGATGATTGTTGTCCCCGGTTGTTGGGTGCCATGTTCAAGGGGCTGGGCGGACCGATCGCTCGCTGGTGCTTGATTCTTCCGGCTTTCCGTGCGGGCTCGTGGGCGCCTAGCTTTTGCATGCACGCGTGTGTACAATATGATTTCAGTACTGCAATATGACAAACGTCAAACAGGTATGGCGTCAAACACACAAAGATTGATGTGAGTAGGTTTGTTATTACGCTTTCCTCGGGTTCTTACCATGAATTATTGCCCGTCCGTTCCTTGCCTTCCTGCTCTTTGCTACACCCTAACCGCCAGCTGCTCATTCAGCCGAACAACGCAGTGGACATTCTCCAGGCGAACGACATCGAGTCATCATGGGACTTGGTTCTCGAGCAGGTTTACCCTCAAAACAGATGGCATCAGCAACCGCCGGCTTGCAACCTAACGTTTCACATCCTTGGTCCGATCTCCCAAAGCTCCGATCGATTCCTCCGCAGCGAGGAATTTGTCGCCAGAAGGGACCGTTGAGAGAGGTTTCGACGGCTGTTCAATCGCGCATTGTTCCGTACTCGCAACCCTGTTCGTTGCCGAGACGTGGACGTTCGAAAACCGACCTCATGGGTGCGTCTCCTGCGCACCTCCCGCCAGCCTTCCCTCATGCCCATATATACTTCTATAGATATAAGTCTGAATGCTGGGGAATGAATGCAGGAAGATACACAGCCTCGCACACACGCTTTCCCAAGTCGTTTCCACCCTCATCCTTATTCCGTTTTTTTCGCATGTCCCCTGCGCCGGGTTCTCGAGGAACGGGTTATCCCGAGAATGTACCGTAAAACGCGTACTAGTTATTTTCGTTTTTCGGTGTTAATCTGCTGAACCGTCCCTCCCCTTCTCATTTACGTCGGCGACGTCATTTTTCGTACACCGAGGCTCGTTGGACATATCGTGCCACATCACACGCCGTGGGTTGTACATCCCCTCTTCCCAGTCGAGAGTATTTGATCGTATTACTGCTTTTCGTGCCTGCGCTTACACCAGCAACAAGAAATACCTCTTTTTTTTTCCTAGCCCCAAACCCTGCCCCACAACCAATCTTACACAGGTCCTCAAGCGCATCGCCGGAGACTTCTCCCCCGAGGCCGACTTCGCCTCCCGTCAGATCACCAAGGAGGACTTCCCCGGACGCTACCCTTACCGCGACTACGGCATGCGGTACTGGGAAGCGACGCACACGTGGGTCAAGGAGTACCTCGACGTAAGTGATGCCTCCCAGATTTGGGGGTTTCTGGGCGTTATCACGAGGCTCGGGTGATCGAACTCCAGGAGAAGAGTTAGGACCAGGCCAGTGGAGTAGGGATAGGACCATGCCTCGACGGAGGGTGCGTCGTATCAGGTCGCAGATGTCGGGCTGGGGGCTAGCGAATGAAACGCATTGACGTCGTGTAGGGTCGTGAGTCCTATCATTCTTTGCAACAGTCGTTACCCACCTTGTTGGAGAGGTTGTTTGTTGCAGAAGACGCAGCCACTTACGCACCTCTAGGGTTTCCTGACGTTCAGTTGTTTCTGTGTGGTAACCTAACAAGGATTGTAGAGGCTTGGTGTTAGGATTCTTTAGTTGATCACCTTCGCCCGGATTTCTGCACCACAAGGTTCTCAAGTTGGCGTGTTGTTCGATGCCAGTAATTCCGACGTGTCCAGGGGAGGTCGAAGACTTCCCTTTCCCTCGTTTTCCGTTTTTCCCTCCTTCTCCTCCATCCTATCTCCTCGCGGGATGACTATTATCTTCTTCAATACCGATGTATGACTACGCCTACCGTCTCCGGCGACTGCGATGTACTTGCGACGATGCCGAATCCTCCTTAGATTTACTACGAGAGCGACAAGGACGTGGAGGAAGACTACGAGCTCCAGGTAAGCCATTATTTTCTCCTGATGCTGTTGTCCGGAATTGAAGGGGTGGAACGGGGCTCTCTGAAGAGTGATCGCTGCCTTTGGACGCGGTGATCTTAAGATCACAATGCTTGTGATGGGGTTTGCTGAGTCTGCCGAGCCGTTCGGCTGAACGGGTTGGTATCAGGTTTGACATACCATGAAAAATGGGAGGAATGTTCGAGGCGCACCAGGTGGTTAAACTATCTGTAGACTACTTCTGTCACGAAAAGCGGGTTCACCATATTTTGGAGGTGATGTTGCGCGTCGCCAGAAGCCCAACGAACTGATCGAAGGATGAACGCCGACGGCTGCTTCCCGCACACTGCCACCAGGCGATGATTAAGGAGCTGGTGGACATCGCCAAGGTGTACTGGCTGAAGGATTACTACACCACCGACGACAAAAAGGCTTTCATCGCCAAGGTACTGCTGCTGTTGTTGCTGTTGGCTTTCGTTGTCTCTCGTAGCAAGACATTTGTGAGGGCACCAAGAATGAGGGTGTAGTACGCGCTGTCAATGGCAAACAGATTGTATCCGTACGACGCTATGGCTGTTCGTTTTCGCGGGCGGGGGCCCACTGTTTTGCGGGTAGGTCCGTGAAGTATTAAGCGGTTTACATTAACGTATTGTGGTGTGGACGGGATTCGCAGCATTGATTGGGGAATCTCTGCCTTCTCGTTTTATCATTTTCAGTTCACCCCTCTTTTACAGTAGCTTTGCATATTTCTACCGTTACAGTCCGTTGGTTCTTGTTGTGAACCACGGCATGATCCGCATATCATCAGACATTGCCGTCGGTATCCACCGTACATTCAACTTTGTATTTCGCAACCACGAAATTGTGATGAGCTCCAGAGCCAGGGATCTGATTTTTCTGCTCGGCGTCCAGCCGTACATCACGCTCAACGAGTCAGACTTTTTCTTCCGGTTTCATACATAAGTCTCGTCGCCCGGAACCAACCTTTGTGTGTACTCCTAAGTCGCCTAGACCCGACGACCACGCGCAACAACAGGTGATCGCGAGCTGGATCTACTCTGCGAGTACCCTCCACGCCGCGGTCAACTTCCCCCAAAAGCCGTCCATGTCATTCGTGCCATCCTGCCCCGGTTCTGTCTACGCCCCTCCTCCCATCGACAAGGTATTTCACCAAGTTTAGTGGGTGCGATTTTTCCTGCAATCACGGACGGTGAGAAAAAGTCTATTGTTTGCACGTGGTGGCGGCAACCTTGGGTAGATGAACACTCGAGATCTTTAGTGTCCACGCTGTGGACGGATTTTTTTATTCGTTGTCTTCGGTTTGGCCGAGTTTTGCTTGTTTCGCTCGAAGCCACGCTTTCCCATGTACTACTACTGCTGGTAGTAGTCGTCTCACAGCGACACAGAACCATAAACATTTCCTGCTGGGTGTCGCTTTTATGTAACGCTGCTTGCTAACTCCCTCTTCGTGTCGTCGTATCTTCCTGCCCGTCTTTCGTGTCTCTCGCCTTTGTACTGTCTGTGACTATCTCATGTTTTGTCATGATCAGAGGGAGAGGACGTTCGACGAATTCATGGACTACCTGCCCCCCATGGAAATCGCCACCATCCACGTGGCCATGCTCACTTTACTTGGAGACGTCTTCTACACGAAGTGAGTTGTAAAGCGTTACCGAATCTTCGTGGTACCTTGTGGCACCGTAAGCCACAGTGCACCTCATGGTCGTGCGTTCTCTGGCAGACTGACACGCTTATTCAAATGTGAAATCGCCTGATTGGGCGTAGGTTGTTCACTCATTGTTGATTGATTGGGCGTGACGCCTTTCGTCCAGCTGCTCCTGTTGCTGCTTTAGCTGCTATCGCTGTGTGTATTTAGCTGTTGGTCAAGTTAGGTGCGGTCCTGATCCTTGTACTGCTGCAGCTATTGCTTGAGTCTTGGCCAAACGTTTATCCTTTTGCGGTCCCTGTAGTGTCGTCGAAATTTGTCCTGGTTCTTGGTGAACCGTTTTCTCATTTATGGGAGCGTCTCCACGAGACATGGTGTTCATGTTTCTTTAGTTGTTTTCTACGGTTATCATTGTTTCTCCAACTCAACGATCCGGATTTGCCAGGAACTCTCGTCCTACAAGCAAGAGAGTAGCGTTGTCGCTGCTGTGCTTCAGAGGTTCCTTTGACACATGCGGCGCCTGTTATCTTGGACCGGTGACACGTGTCCGCCGAACGGCTCATAACGTCGTCAGATCCTTCCTTTTGCTCTGACCACCTTTCTTTCTTTGCGGCGGTTGTTTTCGATTTGTTGTATTTTGTGCAATAAATATCTGCAGGCTAGGCCAGTACGAGACACACAATTTCGACGATGACCGCGTGCTCGAGCCCCTGGCCAAGTTCCAGCAAGCGATTGAGAACATCGAGGACGACTTGGTTGTCGAGTGAGTTTAGGGTTCCCGGCCGAGTTGAATCGTCCGTTCCCCTCGGACGTACAGCGAAAGAGAGTATTTCAAGTATACGGTGAGGTTGCGAGTCAGCTAGAGCACAGGGGTGCGAGCGATTTTCAAAGCGTAATTTCTCCACAACCAGGAAGTTACCACTGTATCAAACGGCAATTTGGGAAATATCTCATCGAGAGCGTTACTGAGAAGTATCAGTTGGCGCTCTACCCTCCTGGCTGTGGAGAAACTACGCTTTGAAAATCGATCGCACCCCTGTGCTCTAGCTGACTCGCAACCTTACGGTAGTGTGCTAATATACCCTACACAATATCGTTGAAACAGCAGGAAAATGTTTCTTTCTTGTCCACAACATCTAGATTCGGTTTCTACGAATGGGTGCAGCAAGGACTCCTCCGAGATTGTGGTATTTTGTTTTACAAGTCAAGAATACCTGTTACGAATGCTTGCCAAGTCTAAGGTTGGGTTGATTGGTTCAAAAGAGCTTTTCCTGTCTTTTTACCGTTGTTGTCGGAGTGAACTACGAAAGCCGTGTTGTGTTTGTTTTACGAGGTGGCGTGGTTGAGCCGTGGGTTAACGAAGACGATGGCATGGTGTTTGTTGTCCATCCACTTGTTTTTCACGTTGTACACTCGGCGCCTACCATCGATGGTGCTCGTATTCTCATACGTCGCAACGTCAAATAAATGTCCCACCCCTAACCACGCGCTCCTTCTTATTCGTCTTATCACACCACCAAAGATATCGTGGTTCGGAAGATGGAGGTGCTCGCCCACCGGCGCCTCAGTCACCAATAGCATCCCCCTCGCCCCCTCCGCCGGGTTTGTCTATGGTCGAAAGACTACGGCATGCAAGACCACCTAACCCACGACACAAGAACTGACAATACCCACTGTTTCGTGTTGTTCCTCCAGCAACGCCGACGTGGTGTCCGGTTGGCGCCAAAGGGGCAAGGCCAGGAGGGCCGCCAACAACATGGCCTACACCACCCTGCTGCCCGACAACATCCCCCAGTCGATCAACATTTAGGGCTATTGAAGGTCCAAGACTTCGGGTAGAAACGAAATGGTGCACATTGAAATGTCACCGAAGGCACCGGCCGACTGCTGCCCGTCCGTGAGTTGGCCTTAAGCGCGATCACCAAGGGCTGCAGCACAGCAGTCAAGGAGTGCAACACCAATATACGAGGGAAGCTACAAGCCGGACATGATCTTATCTTATTATCGGCTCGCGGCGTGCTGCTGAGTTGGTCGGTGTGCCCAAGGGCTGTTGTTCGTTGTGGCGGAGCTTGTTGCTCCCTTTCGCTCGTTTGTCGAACTCCGCACAATATTTCGATGTTGAACGACGTGTACAACCAAAAAAGAGGCCACTGCATGTAGTTGTCAAAGAGATCGGTTTAAAGGGCGGGTGTTGTAAACAACGTTTGTTTTTGAGAAAGGTAGCACTGCGGTTTCTCACTTCTTCGACGATGAATCAGCAGTGTGTGTGTGACGTGGTGTTCTGTTTTGAGCGGCGGTAGAGAAAAAGTGGCATGTCGCGACGGCATACGTCATGTATGTGCAGCCCTACGGCAGTGCGGGCAGCAGCAAGTGTTTGGGAGGGTGTACTGCTGTAGACCTGTTTGTTTCGTCCTTTGTGTTGCAGTGATTCCGCGGTAGACGGATAATCTATAGACTAGACTATGTGGTTGTCCCACTTTTCGTGGCTGAGCTCGATTGTTCATTTTCTCGACTAGATGGCACGATGGACGGAGGGGGGAAGGTGAGGGTGTTGCAGTTGAACTTTCTTGTGTGGCTTGGAAGGCCGCAATAGACAGCGGTGATACGAGCCGTTGTTGGGGTTTCTCCTGAAAAAGGTGCGATAGGATTCGGACGTACGTTAAACTCAACCTAACTTAGCGGACAAGTTGGTTCTCTTTCCAGTGCGGGTGGCAGTATGTTGGGATCCCCATCTCTCTTCTGCAAGGTGCAAAGCTACGCACGAGCCCAAGGTTGGGAAGGGGGCTAACGGGGTTATTTTCGTGCACTCTTTTTTGACATTTCACACGGAGAAATGAAGAATCGGGTGTGGCGGCGATGAAGTAAATGCCTTGGGTGCCTTCCGGTGTATGCCGGGGAGGGGTTGAGATTGATAATGTTGCCAAACCGCCTAAGCTCTGAAAATTCAGTTGTGGGTTGCTGTCGGTGTGTCGATGCGATATTCGGTCTCAGATTTCAATTAGGGGTCGGGAGGGTGGGTTTTCAGCGAGACTTGGTGATTTTTCTTACTCAATGCATAGGGAAACGCAAATCAGGGGAAACGAACTTTCTGGCCCCCCGGAGACAAAACGGGGGTTTGCCCATATCTTGCCCATTTTAAGCGCTTTTTTGACCGCTGTTCCGGTAGAACAAACCCTAACATTGCTGGCCACTTCCGACCAGGGGACACGAAATTTATGCCCCCCCCCACCCCGGGGACAAAACGGGAATTTCCCCATATCTTGCCCATTTTATGCGATTTTCAGACCACTGTTCCGGTAGAACAAACCCTACAGTTTTTGCACACTTTACTGGCCACTTCCCGCCAGGGTACACGAAATTTGGTGTCCCCCCCCCCGGGGACCAAACGGGGATTCGCCCATATTATTACTACCAAGGGTAAAGGGTAGCGCACAACACTTGCAAACGTTGCGTTCGACACCACACCAGAAAAAGCAAGAAGAACAACAAACGTCGACGATTTCCATTCTTGTGGTTGGCAGTCAACACATCCATCCATCCCTAGCCCACCTCCGGGAACCTCTTCTTCGCGATACGTACGCGACCTCTTGACCTTACGTATTGCGCTTCCTCCCGCTCCCCCTCCACCTCCTCCTCCTCCCCCTCCTCGACCTCCTCCCTTCCCTCGTCTTCCTTCTCCCACATGCTCTGGTCAAGCGTAGGCGCCACTGGGGACTCGTCCGAAGATATGACCGGCGCCGGTCAATTGAGTCCCAAGCGTGCGTCTCCCAACCATCTCTTTTCCCGACTTCTCCATCACCTCGCCAACCAAGTCGGGGTACACCTTCGCTACCATGCAGTCATCGTAGCAGCTTATTCGGCAAGTCGAGCAGTAGCACGATGCGCCCCGAACCCGCAACTCCAAGATCTGGTGAACTTCTTGAGGGTGGCCCATTTCCTCGCCCCGGACTCGTCTAACGGCCACTTCCTAGTCGTCAACACCTTGTCTCCGGCCGCTCCCACCACAAAATCGTCTGTCTGCACCCCCACACTAGTAGCCCACACAAGACTATAGGTATCCTGCAGCCCCCCCTGCTCCTCCTCTGTTCCCGGGATTCGTCACGTCACTCCGTGTCTTGCGCTCGTTGTACACGTAGCATCTCTCACTCGCAGCGATCTTGGGGGCGATGTCGTGGTTCGTGTTGGCATCCGCCGCCGTGCGACGCTAAAAGTCTCGCGCCGAATGCCGAGACTGTTGGCTCGCTCAGCAAGGCTCACTCCACCAGACTCAAAGGGCTTGCACCGCTGGCCGGGGTGGCACACGTCCGTGTCAATACTCGTGTGCTCTCCCGCTCCGGCTGCTACAGCGAGCGCTGTCTGGTAAGTGGTCCACCCTATCGAGCTGTTGCAGTGCTGCTTCAGCGCTTGCAACGACGCGCGGAGTGCACGAGTGTTGGCCGCGTCGATCGCAGCCACCTTAGCTGCTGCCTGCTCTGCCGCGTCAGCATCCAGCATGGCCCGTACTCGCTCCATCAACACGGGGTCGTTCTGCATCAAATCCATCGCGCTAGAGCGTCGCTCCTCCGCAACGTGCGTACAACCTATCAGTAGTTACTGGAGGAGTCGGGGGAACATATGAGTGAGCGACAAATAAACACCACGGTAGCAGCGTCATTGCAGCAGTTCCAGCAGTCACCATACCCGTGCAACTTTTAATGCGCTTTCTGTGCTTAAGATATTGACGTGGTGGAATGGACCTCGATTCTTGGGGGCAAAGAGGACGGGCAGCGCGTGTTGTTGTTGTTGTTGACTTCACATTAAACCGTATGCCAGTTGCTAAATGCCAAAATCTAGCAAAGACTCTCGGCCCGTGGTCACGAAAGTGCTGGAGCCATCTGAGGATCTGAAGAACACGCACACGTAGCAAGAAAAAGGTGTACAAGAGCCCGAAGAGGTACTACTACACCTATATATAATCCCTGCAGCACCGTACGCGTGCCCAAAACTGAACTACACGTCCGTCTCACCGTTCGACTACAGCAACATCACCCCCTACTTGTCCCACTCTGTACCAAAACGAATGATTGCCGACTACAGCATACTTGCTGTCTGAAGTGCTGTCTGTACAAAAACACCATGGTAGGCATGGAACAAGAAGCTGGCGGGGCACAAAGCTGCTGTCTGAAGTGCTGTCAG